ATCACATCAACTATGAGGCATTCTAATAAAAATCTGAGAGGTAACCCTCACACCTCCTTAAGAGTTCACACTCTCAAAATGCTTACTTTCAATGCCTCAAATACTCGGGGTATTTAAATATAAGCCTCAATGCGTCAAATACCCAGATTTAGTCTCTCTCTAACCCCAATTGAGAGTAAAACTCTTGGTTTTAAAGCCTTGAAAGAATATATAACCAACATGTTTAAGGCGAGAAAAAATGGGCTAGATGATGATGAACCTGCCTATGGTGCGGGTTCAGACTCTAAAGGGAGATAAGAGGGTAGAGGAGGTAGAGAATGGAGAGGGAATGGAATGGACACGCCTAAGGCACAAGTTCGAGCTCACAAGGAGATGAGAGAGAGATGATGACAGATAGGGGTAAAAGAGAGATGAGGGTGGATAGGGGTGCATGTGAGTTGAAAGGGGCATATGAGATGAGAGAGATGAGGGGCAGATGGAGAAGTGAAAAGGAGAAGGGTAGATGGAGGAGGTGAGAGGGAGAGAGAGGCAGATGGAGAAGCTTAGAGAGAGAGAGAGGATGAATGTAGAAGATGAGAGGGAGAGAGGTGGAGGATGGAGAAGAGAGGAGAGATGGGTGGATGGAGACATGGGAGAAAGAGGGGTAGATGAAGGAGAAGAGGGAGAGAGAGGGGAGAAAAAAAAGAGAGGGAGGGAAGCTGGGCCGCCCTAGGTGTGGGTCAGGGCTTGAGCGAGAGAGAAGAAGAGAGGCAAAGAAAGAGAGGGGGAGAGTGAGGGCTTAGACCCGCCTCGAGTGTAAAGAGAGAGAGAAGAGAGAAGAGAGAGAAAAAAGAAAAGAAGAAAGAGAGAGAAAAAAGAAAAGAAGAAAGAGAGAGAAGGAGAGAAAGAAGAGAGAGAAAGAGGAAGAGAAGGAAGAGAGAAAGAGAGAAAGAATAAGAGAAGAGAGAGAAGAGAGAGGACAGAGCAGACCTAGAATGGGCTTGAACCTAGATGCACCTTCGTCAGTCCTTTTGCATTAATATAAGAGAAAGAGAGGTCTAAGTCTTGGGTCAAGGTTAAGGTCCAAGGGTCTAGGTGTCTAGCTTAGGTGGATTGGGTTGAGCTATGGTATATAGAAACTAGGTATATGGTGGGGACTAAGGTATGGGATGACTAAAGTGTGTGGGATACTATGGTGCATGGGATTCTATGGTGTATAGTGTAGGGTAGGGTGTAGGCTAGCTAAGGTAGAGTGTAGGGTGTATGGAGTAGGATTGGAAACTAGGGGTTCTAAGGTGATGGAAGCTATGAGTTCTAGGGCATATGGTATTGAGAGTTAGGAATCCTAAAGGAGTTGGAACTTTGGGGTTCTAGGGAGCATTGGGTTCCTAAGGGTATTTTTTCTCTCTAGAAAATGTTTTTTTCTCCTCTCATCTTAACTCTTGAACTCGAAAGCAAAACAAAAAAAACAAGCTTAAGGCTTAGAATTCTCAAGCCTTTCTCATTAATTTCCAACACTTTCAAAAGCGATCATGGTTCTTCATTACAAATGACTTAAGTTTAGGGTCCTTTTTTTATTCGTGTGACACATGTCCATCCTTAACTTATGCCCTACATTCACTCTAGATATATGATACTTTTTTATTCTTACGACACGTGCCAATCCTTTAACTATGGTTTAATAATGTAGTACAAATAGAACTCAAAGAAAGATTTGGATAAATTATCCTCAAATGAATGATTGACAATCCGTCCCTAATTTGGAGCATTTTTTAGCTCCCATTTTACTTTTAAATTGATTGTGGATGATAAAGAAAATTTTAGATAAAACTAATCCCGCTGTAAGGTAATACACCTACTAATTTAAAACGATCTTATATTGTCAAAAAAATAAAAAATAAAACTATCTCATAAAATTATTTTGTCATTGCATATGTTTGCTCCATTTAAATAGGAAAAAAGCTAAAATGATAATAATGATATATTTTCCCCAAATGTAGCAAAAAAGAAGGAGTCATTTTTTTACCTACAAAAAAATTTCCACATCGAAGATGTGGAATGGAAGTTGGGACACGAACGTTTATTTATAAAAGGTGTTGGGCGCCACAATATTTGCATGAGGCTTAGGCATAGAGGTATCACAATGTTTGCATGAACCGGTTGCCTTGTTGATGGGTTGGAGTTGGGCCTTGAAGTTTCTATAAGGCGGATGAAGTTTCTATAAGGCCTAGGCTCAATGAAAGTCTGACGGTCTACATAATTTGTTAAAATATACATTACTTTTTAGAGTTTGAAATCTTCTTTTTTGTCACAATTATAATTTTCAAGTAGAGATGATCGATGTAAAGGTTTTTCAATACTTGAATTACAACTTTTGATAGTCATTAGGTGAGGTATTAGGCTTTACTTATTTTGATAGTGCAATCAAACCATTTTTCAAAAAACATGAGAAGAGAAAGGCATGAAGTAATAAAAAAATCTTTTTAAAAGGAGGTGGGACCGTTTTCATATAACAAAAGCTAAAAACCAAAGGCAAGCTTTCTATGCTTCCCCTACAATAAAACTTAGGGAAAATTACAAAAAACACCCTAAAATGGACTATCTATGCAGCTTACCCCCACCCGAACCGTTTCTCTCACTTGTTTCCCCCAAATAACCTTTCCTTGCAAATAACCCCCCAATCCAAAATTAGTATAAAATAAGACTAAACTACCATTGTTTGTTTTCACACGGCCTTCTCTCTCATGTTTTCACACGCGCTCCGGCAGTACAAACGTGCGCTTCGGCATTCGGAATGTGTGCTCCGGCAATCCAGGTCTTAGCCGCAAACGCTCCGGCATTATGAGAACTCGCTCCGGTAGTGTAAAGACGTGCTCCGACAATGAAGTCTCTGGAGCCACAACGCTCTGGCAATGGAGGACCGCACTCCGGCAGTATAAACAAGAGCTCTGGCATTCTAAATGTGCACTCCGGCAAGGCAGGTCTGAGCCACAACGCTCTGGCATTATGAAAACACACTCTGGTAGTGTAAAGATGCGCTCTAGCAGTGCAAAGACGAGCTTCGGTAGTACGCTACTTGGGATCCGCGAATTGATTTGGTTTGTACGGAAAGAGCATTTCCATCCAAAAAATAACAATTTTTTACCTTGGGAGTTTTTACGAGGAAATGTTGTTTTAGGGAAAAAAGTGAGAGAAAAGATTGGGGTGGGGGTAAGTTGCATAGATAATCCATTTTAAGTTGTTTTTTGTAATTTTTTTTAGAACTTATATACTTCTCCTTATGTCCATTATGAATGGAGGGCTAAGATTGCCCCAATCACAATGCCACATCTCTATACTATTTTATTTTTAATTTTTTTTTTATAAACTATTTTGACACCAAATTTTGTCAGTCTAACCCTCTATTAAACTCACACTAGCAAAAAATATAAAAATAATATTTTCAATAAAATAAAATGACCAAAATATCTTTGAAAGATTCAAGGGGTATTTTGTTCATTATATTTTATTGAAAAATTATTTTTAATATTTTTACATGTGCGCCCCAATAAGAAGATGACATGTACCAAATTTCATATTCATACAATTTGTATAAAACAAGCTAAAAATAAAATATTTTGAGATGTCCTATCTAAGATCAAATGGTGAGTGACTCTCTTGATCAAAATTGGATGGCTGGATGGTAAGGGAAGTATAGATCTTCTATGCAGGAGAAATATAGAAACCTTTCCCAAAAAACAAATGTGGGAAGGTAACCTGGGCTAGATTCATATAGAATTAGCCGGGTTTGCAGAGAGAACCAATATTTATTAGGATTTGGATTGTTCGGTTTCAATCTAGATCATTGATTTTTTAAACATTGTTTGAAACTTTCGGATATATTTTACATCAAACTTATTGAAATGGTGACAGGCAAACATATATTTGATGGCAGTATTTGAAATTTCCATGGAAACTCACCGAAATATACCAAATTCATCGAAATAATCAGCTGAAACTGCCACTAAAACTCATCGAAATATTGAGTTGAAACTGACTCTCCTCAGCTCAAGGAATCAAATATAAAAAATGAATCACTATTTGCTCACTTTTTTTTTTTTGTCTCCAAAAGGGTGATGTTTGTATAAACCGGCAATAGGGATCTTATAATGGCTTGAAAGTCTAGGTTTAATCCTAATTATGAAAATAAAATTTTTAAAAAACATACAAATTGAGCACATCTATAAAATAGACTATCTAAGGAAAATTGTTTCATGCTGGTTGGACTGCATTTCTACATATGGGATCCAGAAAGTATAAAGCATCCATCTTAAAGATGGATGCAAGTAGGTGTTCGATCTAAAAACAATGGAAACTAATGGTCCAAATGTTTTCTTACTAGAATTATTATTTTTAGTCTTAAAAATTAATTTATTTTTTCATATTTATGATCTTCATGTTAAAGATTACGTGCCCTTAAAAATTAAGTCCGAAAATCCATCTCAAAAATAGATTTATTAAGAGGCCCACATTTCTATATATGCAGGCTTGACTGCATAGAAACCGAAACCACTATCTAAATAACTTGTTACAAAATGAACGATTTTTAGATTTTTAATTTTTTTTCCATTATGCCGTACATCTTGAGGTCGAAGTGATCAATTAAAAGATTTTTTCAACTTCCTAACTCTTTTGTACTAGATTTTTTGAGGGCACCTTACTTTGACATTATAATGTTGCAACCTTTTATAAACTTTATCTTTTGAGAAAACCGGTGGTGGTATTATTATCTTTTGAGAAAACCGGTGGTGGTATTATACCGCAATCATAGTTGAAATACAAAACTAAGAAAAAATATACAAGGAGACTATTTATCTTTTATACAAGATCTTGACTATTGGATGTGGAATTTGATGATTGTAAGTAATTTTCTTGAATTTTATGACATACAGATGGTCGTAAGTAATAGTGACACCCTTGTCGTTATTCATTTTTCTGTCTTTATTTATTTTGTGTGTTGTCTGTTCTTTTCCTCTAAAAATTTCTTCCATGTTTCTCTTATTTTTGTACATTCTATCCTCCCCTCCCATTTGAAGGGCGGCTTCTCTCGCTGGTCTCTGACGTGCCACGTGTCCGCGAACTCTGCAACTCTCTCTCTTTCTTTTGTTATATACGTGGAACCAATTGATATTTTGAGCTTTTCATTACAATTCCAAAGCCTTACAAAGGCAGTCTTCAATTTTGCATTCTTCATTTGTTTGTAAGTGTTTTTTGGCCCTAATGTGGAGTTCTTACTTGAATTCGAGCTAAAAGAGAAGTGTTTTTTAATTCTTAATTGGAATTCTTAGTTGAATCGAAGGCTTCAATTTTAAATCCTTGCTTTTTTTGCCCTAATGTGGAGTTCTTAGTTGCATTCGAGCATAGAGAGGAGTGTTTTCGATTCTCAATTTGGAATTCGTAGCTGAATCTAAGCAAAAAGAAAACTGCTTTTGATTCTCAATGTGGAATTCTTCATTTGAATCTAAGCGAAAAGAGAAGTGCTTTTGATTCTTAGTTGAATCTACGCAACAAAAGAAAAAAAAAAGAAAATGTTTTTGATTCTCAATTTGGAAATCTTTGTTGAATCTAAAGCAAAAAGAAAAGTTCTTTTGATTCTCCGTTTAGAATTCTTATTTGAATCTAACCAAAAGGGTAAGTGTTTTTTGATTCTTAGTTTGGAATTATCTGTTGAATCCAAGCTAAAATATAATGTTTCTGAATCTCAATGTATAATTCGTAGTTGAATCTAAGAAAAAAGAAAAGGGTTTTTGATTTTCAATTTAGAATTCTGGTGAGAGGAAAAAAAGAAAAGAGTGTCTTTGATTCTTAAGTTTGAAAGTTTGGATTGAATTAAAATAATTATAAAATCGTTTTTTGAAGTCTAGAACGTTTGGATTGAATAAAAATAATTAAAAAATCGTTTTTTTAGAAGAGGTCTGCTACTTAGTTGTGATTCTTAGTTGATGAAATTCACATCATTTTGATTATTTTGAGTGGGAATGTGTCAGTTTGAACCTTAGTTGCTGAAATCCATATGATTATTTTGGATGGAAAAAGTTGCTATTTTTGTTTTTTAATTGAAGAAATCCATAATCTTTGGATTATTTTGAGTATAATGATCTCTAATGCTGATTCTTAGATGGCGGAAGCCATTTTACCTTGATTATTCTGAGTTGAAATGGTCTTTAATTTTGATTCTTACTTTGTTATGATTACTTTAAATAGAAATCTGTAATTCTGTTTCTTATTTGGACAAATACAAATGTGTTTGATTATTTTGAGTGGAAAAGGCCAGTTACTCTGACTCCTAGTGAAATCGGTGTCTTTTTCTTTGATGAAAAAGGCTGTAATTTCGACCTATATTGCAATCTTAGAGAGTTCCCTATCATGTAGATTATCGAGTTGAAAAGGTATTGAAGTTTACTATGGAATGTAGGGTTTTCTCTATCAGATTGTTCTGATACCTTTTCAGTAGGGGAGAAGCTATTAAGTTGGGAAAGCTGGCTTTCAAAGATTTCTATCTTTGGAGTTTCTAAAATTTGATGATATCCATATTTGGGATTCCTGGACGTTTTCTATGAATTCAGCTTTATTTTACTTTTATCTATTCAACTGCTTACCAGATTTTTCGAATTCTTGAGATTGTCAGCTCTTTATATTTCCAAACTTATGACCTGGGGTTTTCTGCCTTTTTGAGTGAGAAACACAATAACCTTGCCTATTTTAAGGACTTGTGTGCAATATGCATATAATGTTGCTGCCCATTTTCCTCAAATCCTATAACATTGCCTTCAATAAAAGCTTGTAACATAAAACCATGAATGTCTCTATTTCTTAATTCATGTTTTAGTGTAGGTCTTATTGTTGCAAATTTGTTTCTAAAATGGACTCCAAATTCAAAAATTTCAGGAGCCGACTTCTTTTCTCTTGCATTTGCTCAAGCACAAGGCACATCTCGTTTTGGTTGTACTGATCCTTGCATAGTGCTTAATTTGTCCTTTGGAGCTAGCTCTGATGGCAACAGTGCTGGCTCCTTATCGCCATTATAAAAAAAATGACATAATCGCAAAAAATGGAAGATATGATGATATGGGTTTCTGGAGATCAACCAAATACTCGAATTTCCCAAAATTAGACAAATATACAGAGAATTACTGTTCTTCTAAGAGTACATTGAGATGCTCTGTTGAACCTTCGGAAACTGAATCTGATAAAATAGGAAGTGCGTTGGAGACAAATGGAAAAGCCTCTCGATCTCGTATGGTTCCTGTAGGACAAGTATTAAGAAATCAAATTTCTTCAGTGACCACAAGGAAGCCCACAAGGAAGCTAGTAAATGGGTCAAGGCCTGTTATTAATGGGACAAGTATTGTGAAAAAGGTTCCTTCTACAGCTCTTGTTCAGAGAAAGCAAATTATCAAGGAGAAAGAACTACCACCTATTGATGAGTTGAAGGTTCTCCCTCCCGATGATGGGTTCAGTTGGGCCAAAGAGGACTACAATGTCTGGCAAAGAAATGTGGACATTTGGGCATTTGTTATCAGTTTGCGCATCCGTGTGCTTTTTGACAATGCAAAATGGACATATATTGGTGGATTCTCTGAGGAAAAGCAAGTAAGTTTGGATAGTCTGATTTTGTTTTTTATGGGGTGTTTTCTTACTTTGATATGCTGAAATTGCCATTCATTTGATTTTGTAACTACCTTTCACCTTGTTTTTGAGATATGCATTATCCGCCTTTCAAGATTGTGCGTTGTAAATTGTGGGGAACATTTATTCTCTTCACTGAAACTTTAAATTCACTAGTTTAAAATTGAGAGCCCTTTTCCCTAAATTATTGGGTGTACTTATATTGTGAAATATATCATGAGATACTTTTGTTTCTTGTGTATCAAAACGTGTGATAATTAAGAGAAGTAAGTTTGGGAGATAATGTTGATGATACTTTTTTGATTCATGTCTTGTATTACTAATTTAGCTTCAGAACTTCCTTTGCTTCTTTTGCAAATGGGGTGAAACAAAAATATTTATAATGCTTTTTTGTCCCATTTGTTAGGGATAATCTTATTTAACACATAAAATATAAAAAATGTGATCATATTTCTTATCAAATTCCTCTGAATCTTTATTATTATTGCAGGAGTCAGAACTGCCATTTTTAAACACTCATTTTCCTGTTCCTTCTAAACATCAAGTCTGCACAACTTTTGGCTTGAACTTTTTAAATTTAAAATCATGTTAAATTTACAGAGTTCTCTACAGAGTATGCTAAATGAAATTCGACTGGGTGTTTATAGGATAAATAATCCTTAGACATGGTGCTTCATTGTATGAATACAAGACTAAAACCTCTCTTTGCCATATGTGACTTATATTGTCTATATCGTAAGATTTAAGTTCATCAAGTTACTCTTATATTGACCAGAAAGTAGAAGACAGGGAAGCACTTTTTACTTTTAATCCCTTCTTTCATTTATATTTTATGTCTATGCTCATATGTGTTATTTTTTGTTTCCAGAAAATTAGAAGGCGGATAACTGCTTCATGGGTGAGGGAATGTGTATTACAGCTGGGCCCAACTTTTATTAAACTGGGGCAGCTTTCATCGACAAGGTCTGATTTGTTTCCCAAGGAATTTGTGGAGGAACTTGCTAAATTGCAGGTATTCTTAAGAATTAACCCTGAAATTGCTCCCTGGTTGAACCTTTACCTAATATTGTAATATTGTATTTACTTAAAAATTTAGGTTTTGCTTTAAGAAATAAGGTGAGAGTTCGAACAAATTTAAGTGGACTCTTCACCTGTGAAGGATAGCATGGATCTGCATTGAGCCTTTCTGATGGAGGAAAAAATTATACTTATTTTTAATTTCTATTCAATTTTAAAAGATGTATATTTTGATTTTAGTTTTAGGGTTTTAATTCTAGGGTATTTTTAGTTCTAGGAATTCTAGGGATTTTTTAGATAGTTTACTTAAAGTTAGGGAGTTTAGTTTCAAGTTATACTTAAGTTTGGACCTTTTGGTCAAAAGTTAATTGTGTGGACAAATCATACCCTTTGAAGATCTTATCAATGTTGAAGAGGTGTAGCGTTCAATAAATTTAGGGCATTGGAATCAGAGTAGCGCAATGGAACTATGGTTGTCTCAACTGCAAATTATGGCCCTGATTTCAGAAAGTGATAAAGTAGATGTGGAGAAAACCTCTAAAGGCTAGAAAATTGAGTTTGGAGTATCTTTACATGATTTCCAATGGGAGTTAACGAGTAATTGAATTTGATAAATTTGCATGGATTCCTCAATATACATATCAAGATCCGTTTCTTGAGGAACTATCTTTACCACGAATAGTATTTGAGCCAACAATGAAAAAGAAGGTTGATAAAGGTGTTTTTGATGCTGAATTCATAGCACACTTCAAAACTCGATGACGAGTTTTCTCCAACAATGGGAGAATGATGGAGGGAAAAATTATACTTATTTTTAATTTCTATTCAATTTTAAAGGATGAATTTTGATTTTAGCTTTAGGGTTTAATTCTAGGGTTTTTTTAGTTTTTAGGAATTCTAGGGACTTTTTAGATATTTTAATTAAAGTTAGGGAGTTTAGTTTCAAGTTATACTTAAGTTAGGATCTTTTGATCAAAAGTTAATTGTATGTACAAATATTGTCCAAAACAATAATTTTCCAATATCAACAAGGGCATGGATGGGCTGGAGTGTCATTCATGTGTACTTCTTTAATAAAAGAAAGATTTTGTCTTGTAAAGAAGCCTAAGGCTTGAGCCCTACGTGGGAGAAAGCCTTAGGGTTTCTCCAAAATTGCTTGTTTCAAGGTGCATATTACTGATTTTCTATGTTACTTCAAGTTCTTCTACGTCACTTTCACTCGGAGGAACTTGTGTTAACAAGTATTTTGTATGCACACAATGCACATTGGATCTTAATGATGAACTTGCTTTGTTTTTAGTGCACTATCATGTTTTTTTTTTTTATTTCTAATTATATGTATGATGCAGTAACTATGCTAAACATGAGATGGGACATTTTTATATTGGAAATCTAGATAATATTAACCAACATATATGAATAAAAGCAACTTGAGGAATGGAAAGAACGATGAATATTTTAATAACATGTTGTAATTATGATTTATGCTGACCCCAAATAGTTTGGGAAAAGGATGTAATGATGATGATGATGATGTTGTGATTTTAATTTATGAGTCATGGTTTGGTTAGCTTATTTCCAAAGATAATACTACTTTGTTATAGAGGGTCTGTTTGACAAAACTAAATCTGAATGTCCAAATTTCAAACAAATCTAAAAAAGTGATTGCCCTGCTTTTCATATATACAAATTATATATTATCCTAATATGTGTTTTTATGTGCATGTTTGACTGAATTTTATAAAAGAAATCCAGATGCAAGCACTTTGCCTGATTGACTCTAAGATTATTTTCTTTCTTTTGCTCCATTTTTTTCTGAGGTCGCCATCATCTAATTTTGGGTTTATTTATCTGTAAAGGTAGAGGTTGGCCCTGTATCCTCTCTCTCCAAATTCTTTCAGTTTTCTCCATTTTTGAATGTAATTGCTCTTTTCTTCCTTTCCTATTCTTGGTTTTTCTTTCTAGCTCTGTTACTGATTTTCTTTGAATCTCAAATTGGGTTGCTTCAATGGAGATTCATGCGCCTCTAGTTTTTCAAATCACAGGTTGTTTCTTCTATTTGACTTTCTTAAGCAAATTCTCAGGCTGTTTCTTCTATTTTCCTTTCTTAGGCAAATGATTTCTTTTGAAATCCATGGCTTTTTGCTTTGATTCATTAATAATCTCCATTGAGTTGTAGCCTTTCTCCTCTAATTGATTTAACCATTCTCCTTTAAGTGTATGGCTTCTTACCATTTGAATTGAACTACCACACAAGAAAAGTCAGTCTCTCTCTTTTCAATTTCTACCACTTTCAGTTAAAGATCAAGGTGCATGCACAATGCTCAAATGACGATCCTCCAGGGAAAAACCCATAAGAAGCTCTCTGATTAGAAGCCAAGCAGCCATGAAAACTGCAGCAACAATAGCTTGGACCTCAATTTTAGCATAGAATTTCGAGAGCCATACAATAATCTAACATAGGAACCAATGAGAGAATTCATAGGGGAAACTCAAGAAGAAAACCCACAAAAATTCATGGATTCAATCTGTAAGAATTTTGTGTTTGATATGCCAGGATATGTGATTTGGATTCTATTGTTGTGGCTGCTCATATTCTCTCTCTACCTTCACCCTTCTTAGGAGTACCAGATTGCATACTCCATAAACCTAAGCCAAGAGATGACCGATTCAGTGAGAGAGATAAAAAACCAGATCAGGGAGATAAACATAAAGGGGCTGCAATTTAGGGAGAAGGGGCTTAGGTGGAGAGAGCTTTGGGTTGTAGAGGAAGAGAGAGATGAGGGGCTCACCTAGGTTAGAGTGAGAAAGAGGAGGGGCTCTGTTGGGGATTTGTTGAGGAAGAGATGATGAGGGGCTCGGCTAGGTTAGAGAGAGAAAGAGGAGGGGCTCGGTTGGGGAGTTGTAGAGGAATTGAGAGACGAGGGGTTGAGAGAGCTTGGCAAAGGAAGATAGAGAGAGGACACAGAGTGTCAACTGTGTAGGATGTTGCTCAAATACTTTCTAGTATCTTTTAAATTTAAGTCAGTTGAATTTTTTGAAATATGGGATGGTTATTTGGATGTACCTTGATACGATTTGATCCTATCAAACATGGTCCACAAATTTCTATAATTAAGATTATATTAGATTCTACAATATCCTGAAATATCATGATAATAGAAGGCTATCAAACAGACCCAGAATGAGGAAAATTAGCATAAGTTTCTGATATTGTAAACTTTGAGGATAATATAGAAAAATTCATTGAGGAAACACACATTCATGAAGGCTACAAAATTGAATTTGACATAAATACTCCAAGATACAGCATAATTATAAAGGTGCAATCTGTCACTAAAAGCACAATAATTCTGTCAAATCAATAGACTTTTGTCATCCTGATTCTCCCCTCTAGCTGAATATTCCATTTGCAGCATTGAAAGATTGCTCGGAATGTGCTTGTGCCTTTATGAAGTGACTTTTTGTAAGTATATATGCAAGTTGTTTTTCAGTAGTTTCAAACTCAATAAGTGACCTTTTGTAAGCATTATCTCTTTTCAACTTTTTACCTTAAGAGCAAGTGGTATTCAAGTTAATGTGTTTCTTGATTGTATGAGGAAGAACTTATGATTGGTTGACAGAAAAGACACATATGTCATATTATGCCTGAGAGGTTTGGATAGAATTATCTGTTTCTTCTTGGTGGATTAATATACCTGTGAAATCATTTTTAGCTTCACCCTTTGAAATCTATATCGAAGAGATTCCCTACTCACTTACTAATTTATCAAATGTGAAAATCCATTTAATTTATGTGTATCAGTATCCAGTTTATTAGAACTCATAGTGATGTAGAATCTTTTGTCATATCTGTGAATTGATTCAGTATCTAGTGTGTAAACCTTTTCTGTTATGAAATTTGGAACTTGATTTTATTGTTTGGAATATGATTATTCTTAAGTTTGGGCCATCCATGGAACCGTTGTTGTATTCAATTATCTTCTGTTTTTTTTTTTTAAACCATAGTTCATAGTGAATGGTGTCTACTTATAAACCTGGAAAATGCGTACTGGATCTCACTTTATGATCCTGTGTGATCACATAAACCTTAAATTCTTACCCTGTGATGGCATATCTACAACTGAAACCTGCATGGCATTTTCTCTTTGAAGGATTGTATTTTACTGTGGGATATTGTACATTAGGTATCATGAAGTGTTCTAGAACTTTGTTGATGCTCTCCTAATTTAGTAAACCCATTATTGGGTAGTTTCTGGGAATGAACTCTAAATCCAGCATTTCAACCATTACATCACTTTGAATATGTTTGCAAAGCTTAATATTTATGGTCTATGTTCAAATCAGGACCGAGTGCCTGCATTTTCACCAAGGAAAGCAAGAGATCTTATACAGAAGGAGTTTGGGGTTCAAATAGACATAATGTTTAAGGAGTTTGAGGATCAACCAATAGCTGCAGCCAGTCTTGGTCAGGTGTTTGCTTCTTCAATATGCTAAATTTCATATTACCAAAAGGAGTTGCCATTAGTTGAGAACTTTATTATTCATTGTTCATTAGAGGATGTAATTGTGCTATTTTTTAGATGGCAAATTTAATGAATATAATATTTTTGTTAAATTTCCTACAAATATGATATATAATTTTTTAATGACCATCATTTATTTTAATGGTATTCTGTTTTTAGTTTGTACTGATGCCTTCTGCATTGCTGGTTTAAGGTACACCGAGCTGTATTGCATAATGGAGAGAGAGTAGCTGTAAAAATTCAGAGGCCTGGTCTGAAAAAACTTTTTGACATCGATTTACGTGAGTAGAATATGTCTAGTTTTCCCATTGCGGGTACGTGTGTGGATGTGTATATGGGTTCTGTTATTCTATCCCTCTATGAAGTATCCTGTTACCTTAATATTTTCTAACACTTGATGCCATTAGGCTTTTTATGCCACTCATTGGGGGTAGAATGGATAATAATTGGTAAAGAATTTTGTCAATTATTGGGAGGTTACAATTTTATGCATGACATCATCTACACAAAACATTATGTTTTCCAACAACTCACGAATGTCCTTGTCCATTACCAACGATTGCCAATCTATCCCTGATAAATGATGTATAGGACCCATTACAAAAAGTATTTTATTGTTGAAAACGGCTAAGAAGGATGACGAGGTATTCGGTATCAATCACAATTGATTTCGGTCTCACAATCTGCGTCTCTGTTGACCTTGTCAACCTCTTGGTGTCCTTGGGATACCAACCAAATTTGATTTTGGGAACATTGCAAAAAATTGGAATCCAAATGTTAGACAGTCCGATATTGACCTGAAATTCGTTAAGTTACATAAGAACTTTGAAAGTCCCTTACCTGTTAAAAAATTCAATATAAGAACTCTGCATTTTCTAGTGATGATATCTCTAGTAACAGTCTCTGCTTACTCCTCAACCAATTTTGTCTTAGAGAAATTCAACTGTTTCTTTTACCAGCAAATTAGGTTCCACTCCTGCACCAATTCCACGAAACTGTCAAACATCATCTGGAATAGTCCAAGTAGCTCGAGAATACTTTCCTAGATTTAGTTGCCACTTTGTGAGAAAAGATGGTCCACCAATTCAGGTTCCTGCTTGTGACGTGTGTATGATACCTCATACGAAATCAATGAAGAACACGGTGATTTTAGTTGTGTTAATATGAATTTAACCAAAGGACATGTTCGTTAATTCTTTAGCTTATCTAATTATTGCTTTCTTTCAGCACTTTATTAATTTCAGTTTTAATTTGCCTGTTTTCAGAGAATCTGAAGATGGTTGCAGAGTATTTTCAGAGAAGTGAAACTCTAGGTGGACCGACAAAGGATTGGATTGGTATTTATGATGAATGTTCAAAGTAATTATGAAGCATCTATATATGACTTTTTCCACCATTTGTTGAATTACCTATTTGTAATTTTAGCTGCAAGTAGTGCATGTCGTAATGAGTCAATGCATCAATTTCTACAGCATCCATAATTTCGATCTGAAATGTGCCGTTCTTCTGGCATTTGTTTATTTGAATCCTTTTTTTCATGCTTCTGATGTTGCTTTTTGGGTCCCCAGAAACCTTTGGAATATCGGCCTGGAACCTGAATCATGGTTCCAGTTTTCAGACAATTCTTGGTTTCTACTTTATTACAGTTCCATTTAGTTATAGTTATTCCTCCTTGACTTTTGCCATAACCGTACTGCCATAAACATCCAAATTTCCAGTGATTTTTTCTCTTGTTGTTACTCACTGAATAGATATCCCAGCTATTCCAATGTTTGTCTAAATTTTCCAGGGTTTTGTATCAAGAAATTGATTACGTCAATGAAGGGAGGAATGCTGATAAATTTCGTCGTGACTTTCGGAATGTCAAGTGGGTTCGCATACCTGTATGTTTCTCATGCAATGAGAGCTATTTCTTTTATTGATGCAGTTGGGTCAAGTTAATCTGTTAAGTTTTCAGACAATGATAGCTATTTGTATTATGGCTGTTGGCATTTCCGTTACTATTCCTGCTATATACCAATAACATGATCAATGCTTAGCACAAACCTTTTCAATACCAAATGATCTGCATTCATGATACTGATTGTGGGCGTTCATTTGTTCTGTAGCGAGTATATTGGGATTATACTGGTAAAAGGGTGTTAACTTTGGAGTATGTTCCAGGTTAGCTTTTTTTTATTTCCTTTGTGAGAATGTTTATTTGATATTTTGATTGTTTCTAGTTCTTGACTTAGCAAAAGGAAAAACATATTTCGAGTTTGGTCTGGCTATGTTGCAATTTTTTTTTGGTCTGGCTATGTTGTAAATGTATTTTGTCCTTATTTTTTGATGTTGTGAGCAGGAATTAAAATAAATAACTTGAATCAGATCGATGCTCTAGGCTATGATCATTCTGTTATTGCTTCACGTGCGATAGAGGCATACTTGATTCAGGTTTAGAATTCTTTCCCTCTACCACTAGCTTGATTCAGGCTTTGATTCTCGTGATTTCATTAATTGGTCCTTTATTTGTTCATTTTACTTGGTCCTTTATTTGTTCATTTTACTATAATTTCCAGAACATCTATTTAAATTTGGTTGTTATTACCCTATGGATACACCTCCTTCAGGATGGAATTTTTTTTAGATGTAAAAGCAAGCTGCCACTATAAATCGCTCTTCTTTGATAAGGTTTGAAAGCAGTAGCTTGATTCAGGCTTTGATTCTCGTGATTTAATTATTTTGTCCTTTATTTGTTCATTTTACTATAATTTCCAGAACAGCTATTTAAATTTGGTTGTTGTTACCCTATGGATACACTACTTTCGAGATGGAATTTTTTTAGATGTAAAAGCAAGCTGCCACTATAAATCACTCTTCTTTGATGAGGTTTGAAGGCTGGCAGATGGCATCCGAATTTCACAAATGCTTCCTGCTAAGAATGAGTCGGCCCCTTAATGGGGTGTGTGCTTGTACAGTATGGTACATGTACCATGCTGTTTATTATGCCAATAGTATGATACATGTCATCTCCACTATCTACTCTCAACAATGGGCAGTTGGGAGATGATCATCTGCTGTGCTTGTATTGACAATGGGACTTGAGTAGAGAATGGCTCAATACTATCATCAATTGCTTAGTATATATTGTAAGAATTGTGCCGTGCCATTTCCTTTTTGTATATTTTCCTCTTTGTGTGTTCATCTGTGCATGTGATTGTTCACTATGATTAATGTATCATACTAACTGTGTGGTACATGTCATTTCCACCCCTAAACAAACTTCGTGAACTATGGAGAAGAATCATTTTCCACTTGAGAAAACTATGGCGAACTTGAGCTCGTTGTTCTCTGTGGTGGATCATAGGTTGATTTTTATCATTGTATTAGGGCTTGCAGTGGATTGGACCTGGTCCAGGTCTGTGCGGGCCAGCCCTGGCTAGAGCCTGGCCCTGGTCCCTACAGGGGTAGTTAGGGCCCGTCCTGGTCCATTGTCCAAACTGGGCCAGGCCTAATCGATTTAAAAAAAAGGAAAAGGAAAAAATAAAGCGAAGGCATAGGGCCGGGCAGGGCTGTGGCTTAGGCCTAGCCCTCCGGCTGTGTCAACCGAGCCCTGGCCCTGCCCTTAAGCTGAAGTTTGCGGTCTAGGCCATAGTTTCTGGTGGCTGGGTTGACCAGGCTGGGTGGGCTGCCTGGCTCATTGCCAGCCTTAGCATGATTCATGGTTTTGATTTCCTCTATTCTTGTGTGTGTACTTGTGACAATATATACATTCAATAATACATAGAATTTAGTGCATGAGTATAGGATGCTGGTGGAAAGGGAAAATTGAATAATTTATTATGATAACATAAGAAATAGATAATTTCAATACTAGTATTTGTAAATGTACAGCTGGAGCAAGTCCTAGAGTAATATACTGTAGGTATGTTAATTTGAGTGTCTTTGAGTCAACTATTAAGGAAATTCTTCCTGAGCATAGAAATTTTGGTAATGGTTGTTGTTTGATGGGGAACTTACCTACAAAGTTTTTGTTAGAGTTCTTCTTGGTGGTTGGCTGTTAACTTTTCCTGGAAATATTGTGAAACAGAATGTGATTTTCAAAGTTTTAGATAGTGCATCACTTGCTATATTTTTCTTTTTTGGATAAAATATGTTAACCATGAGATAAAATGTTTTTCCATGTTGTAATTAAGGTAGTATTTGCTTGCTCTTTTCAAGTTCGATTTTAAATGGATATACTGAGTCCACACCTTTAATTCAATGTTAATGTAGTACTTGCTGATATGCTTCAGATATTGAAGACTGGGTTCTTTCATGCCGATCCCCATCCAGGAAATCTTGCAATTGATAAAGATGGATCTCTCATCTATTATGATTTTGGGATGATGGGTGAACTAAAATCATTTACTCAAACAAGATTGCTCGAACTTTTCTATGCAATATATGAAAAAGATGCAGACAAGGTATGCCCTACAGACTCAAACAATTTATATCTGGTCATTGGATGGCTGTATAGAAATGCAAATAAATCTGATCAATCACTCCAGAATAATGTCCATTATGCTTCATTTTGTACAACTATCATTATTCTTCATTCCTTTAATCATACAAACACATACCACACCCTGCATGTACACTTACACAAACACAAACACACCCCGGCACACGCAAACATGTATATGTTTGTATATTATCATTTAGCATATAATATATGTTATTGATATTGTCTGTTAAACAATTGAATAGTTTGTTGATTTAGCAGATAAAATACAAAGGAGAGTATGCGATGATCCATATTCTTTGGAAAATCTATGTTCATAGGTGTCATCAAAGTCAATGGATCAATGGTGATGGAGAAAGTGAGACCTACCACTCATGTTGCATTCTGATGCTCCCATCTCTTTGACCAGTATATGGTTTCTACTCGGCCAGCCTGCATATTGTAGAAAAGTGGGCTTGGCAATTAATACATTTTTTAAATATAATTTGATACTAATTTTTAGAGAATATATAATCTTTTACATGAAGATCATGAATATGAACAAAATAATAATTTAACACTAGAAATAATATTTATATTAAGGAAACATTTGGACCGTTAGGTACCATTGTTTTTAGATGGACCATCTGTTTGCATCCATCTTTAAGATTGATGCTTTATACCTCTGAACCGCATATTGTAGAAATGGGGTCCAGCCCGCTTGAAAAAATTTTCCCTTTGACCATCATGTCAATCCATTGATTGGATGGCAATACACTTATGACTCTGCATTTCTGTGGTCCTATGACAAGAAAAACAAAACTAGAAGTGTTCGAGAGCCTACTGTATTTTTGATACTTGAACACATAGTAATAGCATCATCATCATCATTATTGTCAGAGCCTTCTCCCAACTATGGGGATCGGCTACACGAATCCTGCTCTATTATGGGTCATACTCTTTGTGAGGCCATAAGTCTCCATATCTTTTCTCACTACTTCCAACCATCTCCTTTTGGGCCTACCCCTACCCTTTTTGAGCCTTCAGGTGTTGTACTTTGTTTGCGCCGCACGTGGCCAGCCTACCTAAATCTACTCTCTCTCATCTTATCGCCTATTGGTGCCACACCTAAATTCTTTCGAATGTATTCATTTCGAGTTCTATCCCTTTTTTCATTGCCACTCATCCATTACAACATCTTCATCTCAACTATACTCAATATATAGGTATGTTGTTTCTTGACCGCCCAACATTCTGCCCCATAAAGCAAAGCTGGCCTATAGAATTTGCCCGTAGGTTTCATTGGTATGCGGGAATCACATAACACATGGTAATAGAATATTGTTTCTATATTTTACTTATTATTATATATTTTTCTTACACTATTCTTTTCTTGAAGTTTTTGCAAATAAAGAGTTACTTTCTAGGTAATGTCTTTCTATTATTCACTAGTCAAATACCTGAGATTCTAGGAATCTTGACTCAACCCCTCATAAGCCAAGGTCAAGTCTCGAGTCAGCAAACCATGCTCTCCATATCTGAGGACCCCCCTTGTGATTAGGACATATGATTTCCATCATAGACTTAAATTTGTTGGAACTTTTTTTTTCCTTTTTTTCGGGTGTAAATTAGCTTGGCACTTGATGAAAATGGAGATCTAGACATCACATTGTGACACTTGTCATCCCAACTACCTCTGTGTGGAGGCCATTCTTTTAAAATCTTGCAACTGTACATGACCGATATTTCATGTTGTTGACTGAAAACTGTTTGGAGCATCAAGAACTTGTTTTCTTAGTAAAAGTTTTCTATTAATTATGGAATTCCCTTAATGTGACTGGACTTCTTGTTTAAGGATTTTGTTTTAGAATCTTGCAACTTTACATGACCGATATTTCATGTTGTTGACTGAAAACTGTTTGCAGCATCAAGAACTTGTTTTCTTAGTAAAAGTTTACTATTAATTATAGAATTCCCTTAATGTGACTGGACTTCTTGTTTAAGGATTTTGTTATGAATTATGTACAGCCTTCAAAAAAGGCATCAAAGTGATGGGGACATTGAAATCATAGTTGTTGGGATCGAGAGGGGAAATGGTACCGGGATCGGGAGCGGGAATGGTACCGGGATCGGGATTGGGAGCGAGGGATCGTGAAATGCTAAAAGATCCCTATGGTTGGGAACACTGTCCATACGATGCATATATTAGGTATTGAAATACCAAAATATTAGGGATCGAGATTTCAACCTTTTGGGATCTTGATCCCAACTTTTTGGGGATCTTGTTACCGACCTGATAATCTAGGATTATGCATATTCTTTAAAGTATGGATCTCATTATTGATAGCAAGCAATCAAGAGTTGTGTTGCTAGTTGTCTATAAACAAGAAAATCATTAGTTTGGTTGTTGTCTTAGTCTTTAAGGATATCGGGATTCCTATTTGTGGGGTTCGAGATCCCAAAATTTAAAAATCGAGATCCATGTGAGATCCGTTCCGGATGCGACAGAATCGAAATCCTAGAAGGGATCGCCTACCAAAGTAGGAGATCCCAGCTGGTCTTTTGTCTTTTTGAGTTGATTCCAAAACTCTGCTGTCCATGTGTTGTGACTGAAGTGAAACTGAACTCTTCCACATGGAACAGACAGATAGGCAGACCTTGTCCATGTATTGATTTCATGCAATTCATCATTTTAACCATTTGACATTATGTATACTTTCATCTGTTGAGGAATCTGCTCTTAATTTCCTATGGGCATACATGAGCAGCAATCCATCTGAACAACTTCATAAGGATAAAATGTGAACATTTCATGGCAATTCGTCATTTTGCTAACTGTATTCCTCTGGGAAATAACAAGCTTATCAACTGCAGGTTATCAAATGCCTCATAGATCTAGGTGCACTCCAACCTACTGGCGATATGTCACCGGTTTGCACAATCTCCCTTTCTTCTTAAGTACACTTACCATTTCCATTTAACTGTACATATACTTTTTAGTTTTTATTTGATTTATCATGTCAAATCCTACAATCTTGATCAGGATTAGACTCATAAAATTTCCATCAATTTCTAGGTGAGGAGATCTGTGCAGTTTTTCCTTGACAATTCGTTGAACCAGGCACCAGATCAAGAGCAGACTTTGACTGCAATTGGTGAGGTTAGTCACATGTTGCAGTTATGCACTAACTTTTTCACATGATACATTTTTCATGCGAAGGTACAATATTGGCTTTCGTTCAATAGTTGCCATAATATTAGCTCGGTCTACATAGACAACAATGAACTCAAGGATCAACACTGCTCTTGGCTGCTCTGTTGTCGACATCTATGCATCTCTGTATTAAGGTTTGCCACTTCCATGTGATGATTGCTTGTTATTCATGACCTTGTATTGTTGTTACTGCTAATGTTGTTGATGGTGCAATGGGCAGCATGGGAATACAAGTGGTTTATCAGTATTTGTTGATTCTCTTAAAAATAAGATTAGTCGATTTGTTGGGTATAAATTTTTAATATTGCTTATTTTAATATTTAATGGAAATCAAGAATGGGTTGAATCGAAAATTTTTTTTTATTTTTAGAGTTATGGGTAGAGTTTTGGATTAATTTTTAGGAATTTTATTTTAGAAAAGCTTTTTTTTTTTAGGGTACAGTTTCTATTTTTGGGGAATTATCCTTTATTATCTATTATTTTTACGAAGTATCTATCTTTTAAGGTTGGATGTCATCTTTAGGTTTAGAAGAAGGTAAGGTTCATGATAAGAGTTCGTTTGTTTTAGTAGGCTTATCTTTTACAATGGTTAGGAGGCGATCTCTCAGATACAGGAAAGATATGAGGTTTATTTTTTTATTTTTAAAGAGATAAGAGGGAAATGGGAAGATTAACTAATGGGAAGCACATGGATAGAAGATTATCAATTAGGGAAGGAAGGCATTTTTTTTTGGAAGGGAAATTTTTAGATGCATGGTGGTTGTTATGAAAGCACATCGTTCAAAGTAAAAAGGATGCTTTTTTTGATTGAATGAAAGAAAAGTTTTATTGCAGAGAAAGAGAGTATCTTGTCTTGTGTTTCATGTTGTTTGTTTTTTTCTTTTTGCTTTTTTTTTTTTCGCTGCATCAACATGGTTCAAAGATGGCTGGAGATTGCGATGGCTGGTCGTGGAGGTCTTAGCCGTAAAGATGCCAACCGTATATGATTCTGCAAGGAAATCAACAACTTGACGGTGACAGGTACAAGTCTGGTGCACAAAAGAGAACAACAACAGTGTGCCCTAAACGAAGAGGAATCTACATGAATAGATCCAAATTGTGAAGATTTTTAACTTTTTATGGAGAATGTATAAATCAGAGTCTGACTCAGAGTTGGAGCGAATGATGAAGCTGCCTTCGACCACTTGTTCTATGCACGTGCTCCTCTTTGGGAGCCTCATGTTTGGGAGGATAAATCATGGGATTTAGTTGATCTACATGATTTGAAAGAGAATGAGGTTGATTTTGGCGTAGGTCGATTCGAAAATCAGTAGGTTGTTGTATATTTGGATCTGCCATCAATTTTTGATATATACTTAGAGGATGATAAGATCTTGTAAGAGATCCAATTTCTGATGATGATCAATATTTCATGGTCAAACCAATATCTGACGAAGAAAAAGATGGACTGAAAGGACAATCAATAGGTGGAGTTGGTTCGGGTGAAGTTGGTTCCTGCATTGAAAGTTCTTATCTTGAAGATGCTTTCTTGGTAATATAGTGACCCATTCCTCGAGGGTTTCTCAGTTTTAGTGCACAATCATTTTGTTTTGGTCAGTGCAAGAGCCCACAAGGCTCAGGATCGTGTTTACTATATTTGGGATGATGAAGTTTGTTGGACTAATGCAAATTTCATCTTAATACATTTCAAAACTCGTTCTCGAGTTTTCTCTAACGAGTGGAGAATGGGCAGATCAAGAATGGTTGATTCATAAATTAATTTTTGTTAATCTTTTTTTTTGAAGTTATGGGTAGATTTTGGGTTAATTTTTAGGAATTATATTTAAGAAAAACTTTCTATTTTTTAGGGTATAGTTTTTATTTTTGGAAAATTTGTCGTTTGTTAGCTTTTGTTTTTAGGAAGAATCTATCCTTTAAGGTTGGACGTCATCTTTAGGTTTAGATGTATGAAAGTAAGAGTTGTGATAAGAGTCTATTTGTTTTAGTAGGCTTATCTTTTGCAAGGGCTAGGAGGTGATCTCTTAGAGAAAGGAAAGGTATGAGGTTTGTATTATCTTTGTATTTTAAAGAGATGAGGGAAAAGGAAGATTATCTAATAGGAAGCACATGGATAAAAGGTTATCAATTAGGGAAACAAGGGATTCCGTTTTATTTGGAAGAGAAATTTCTTGAAACAAGGTGATTGTTATAAAAGCACATCGGTCAGTGTAAAAAGAATGTTTTTATTGTAGAGAAAGAGATTCTCTTCTCTTGTGTTTCCTGTTGTTTTTTTTAATTTTTCTAAATCAATATTCGATCCAGTTTCATAGAAATGTTCGAATCCGTCATTCATGGGGACTTGCACCTCTGTGATTGGAATATAAACCTTCCCCCCCATTAGGAGAACTTTACAATAGGTTATATAGAGCAACAGTGAAATTATCATGGGGAACTCTTTGGTTCTGCATCATCAATTGTTTCTTTTCAGAGAAACAGAACGTGGCAGTATCTCTAGCCTCAGAAGGTGGCAAGCCACAGAACAAAGAAAAACAAGTTCCATGTTTAAAGTCCCTGAAGAGTCCAGAAAGACAATTTCTTGGTTGAGATCAACACCCTAGTTCTCAAGGTTGTTAACCTTTCGGTTCCTCACACAGTAAAAGTTTAATATCCTACTTAAAATTTTCCTGATCTGTACCAATGGTATTGAGAAGGGGACTTTGAGTTCAGCAAAGATTTTTGGGACTGAAGAAGCTATTAATAATCTTTCTAGCAACCCTTTGATGGATTTACTGCACACACGAACCCCTAATCTCCATGAAACTACAGTAACATTTCAAAAAAGGCAAAAAACCAGTAACTTTTAGTGGTGAACCCTCAAGCATCTGAATGCATAATGTGTTTTCATCTTAGATTGTAATGGTCATACTGACTTCACTAGCATCGATTTACAAAAATATTGAAGTTAGGCATGCCCCACATGTCAAAGTGAGCCGACTTAGGCAAGTGCCAAGTGAGTGAGTTGACTGAGGCAAGCTCGAGTCAATTTCCCTCGATACCAAACTGTAGCAAGACGCCATGAGTTGGCTAACATATTTTGCCTTGAAATTGTTTATCACCCATTTCTTAATGTTTGATTTGGGGATTGATGGTATTAAATTCATTTCAAAATTGGGCTCAGTGGTGAGGCTCACTATGCTTGCTTGCTTGCTTTGGGAGATGTATGCTTCTATTATTTGAAACTTCTAGTTCTTGAGTGAAACTGCCCACTTATTTGTTGTCTTCCTGTAACGATCGAGGGGTAAGTTCTCTACTGTGTTTATTATAACAGTTGTTGCAAGAAACTAAGGCACAACAGCCATTTTCTACAAATAGTATCATTTGTATATTATTCATTAAAGTTTGTTCTTTTTGTAACTATTTATAAATTTGTGAAGCGCCTCTCATTTTACCAATCACTTCTATTTTCAGATTATGCATAATATTGAAACATTTCAGTTCTACTTTTGGTTCTCAAAGCGAGAAGTGTGATACATATGCTTGGCATGATGAAACCCATTGTTCTGTAGGATTTATTTGCAATAGCCCTTGATCAGCCATTTCGCTTCCCATCAACATTTACATTTTTGTTGAGGGCCTTTTCAACACTTGAAGGTGCACACTCTTTCCTTCAACTGTGATGGGATAGTCAATATCTGAAAGTTGAAATTGTTTGCTCCTTTTCTATGATTTTGCAGTGCAAGCATGGGAAGAGAAACTAACATTTTCTATGTAATAAACATACATAATTGTATTTTGGTATTCTATTGGGATATATAAAATAAAACATAAAACTGATATCAGAAGACAGTATTTGTGTTTATGGTGTTCCTGATTTCATGAGATCTGCTTTTATTCATATTTACCCAATAAAATCAAAGTAAAAGGTTACAAAGATTCACATATTATTTTGCTTTTAACTCCTATCACTTCTTGTTTGATGTGCTTCGAACCTTAACTTTTTCTTTGCGAGGGCAATGTAGAAAGTTGCAACTTAGGACCGATGTACATATACCTTGGTATTGTCCAAAATTTTAATGATCTTTTCTGTCATAGGTATTGGATACTCGTTGAATCCAGAGTTCTCTTTTGTAAAGATTGCAGCACCTTATGCCCAGGTCAGTTTTATATTTGCTCCATTTTAAATTTTGATTTAGAACTACAACGGCGTAATCTATCTTAAAGACAACCCCTCTATATTGATCTATCTTTCCTTGAACATACAGGAGTTGCTAGACAAGAGACAAAAGAGTCAAAGTGGAACATATCTTGTGGAGGAGTTCAGAAAACAAGCTGTTGATGTACTTAACTCATTCTCTACATGTTTTCAGTTTCATTTTTCAAATCTTTTCCATGCATAGGATTCTTTCCACTGTTTGCTTTTACAAAATGTAGGAATTGTAGTGGCGAAATCAATGATAAATCTACGGAGAATTTTCTTTATTGATACTGGCGAGTCTTATGTTTTGAGTGTTTCATTCTTTAGTCTAATGTCATTGCATGCATCTTGTCATAAATGACAAGTCACTGGAAAAGAAAAGTCATCAATTTCTCACTGATACTGTGTTAGGAACACATATTGATGCGGATTTATTTCATGTAGAAAGAGAAATGAAGTGCTTGAAGGGCTGCGTCTGCTTTGAACCATAGGAAATCTCCTGAATTAAGACCTTCCCCTTTTTAGAAAAATAATATATTTAGTGTTTGGAGTGATGCAGCTGCTTTCTCAAAAATTTTTAGATTAAGGAAAATTGCTTTGTATGGTGATAGAGATTCAAGTGTAGGTTAAGGAAGGGGTAAGGATTTGATACCTTCTAATTGGGGAGGTAGTTAGGTTCTTAGTTTTCTTATTTTATTATTACCTCAAGAATGAAATATTTATATACAGTGAAAACACATAGATACGCCTTAATCCTTTGGATTTTTTTCGGTTCATGCATATAGACCTTCCTCTCTATTGCAATAACTTTGGTCTCTGTGCCCCCTTCTTTGCTAGCCTTCATTTTTCCTTGTTTATTTCATTGGATCAAGCTTTTCCGTGCACTTTTTCTGCATCTGCTTCTAGTTGATGTTGTACTGCAAAGCTAATATATGACTCAATAATGCAACATGTGGAGGATATGATTATTATCTCATGAATTGGAGATTAACTCTTCACTGATTGGTTTTATCATTCACTGGGTGTTATGAATTTGTCTATCATCTGTATCATGTCTTTTTCTGATTTGGATAAGGCATTTCCTTCAACTATCTTATCAAAGAACTGTAGAATTGCATGTTGAAATGGTGTGTATACTTTGTATAATGATACTTTGACAATTCTTTATTTTTATGCATTATATTTGTGCATTACTCATAAGGATTCAGCTATTATTCATCTCTATATTGAAACCATACAATTTGATTTTTTACGTCAATAAAGTTTTGGTCATTAGTTTACTCCTCTTCATCACTTTTACTGTAATTCCCTTGATAGTCTTTGAGGTGATCTTATACATGTGACCATGTACCCTCTATTGAAATTCATTCAGTTCATGATGATTTTTCTTTTATTACTTTAAATTTGTATTTCTGTAAGGGATGATTTCTCAAGATTTATGTAAAACCCTGAGAGAACCTCACAATCAAATAACTTTATCTATTGTCTCTATCATGGCAAATCAAGGCTTAATCACAGCCATCATCCATTCTCAATCATAAGTGTCAAAGTCATCCTGGATAATATTCTTTCGCAACCTGTATTGGACACAATGATGATTTTCAGATTTTGAGTCTGTTATGCACTCCACGAAGCTCTTCCAACCATAAACTTTCGCCTTGAAAGACCTTTTAGGGAGCCATTGTTATCCAAAAGCTTTGTTTGAGCTGCCAATCTCTTTGTTCAACTTCTAATATTCTGTGCCCTGTTTATTCCCTCCAGCTATTGTTAATTAAATCCCACATATCTGACCACCTTGGGTGCACCATTTTTTGAGAATTTCCAATGTAGGCTTATGCTTCAATTTGGGAGACTGAAGCACTTACCCCATGCATGCATCTGAACAATAAAACAAAATGCATCTCCAACTCCTCCTCAGCCTCTATAACTTAAATAATCATGAGATATGAGATGTAAAAATGGTTTTTCAAGGCCCCATCACGACATGGTTTTACATGGTCCTATAATTATGAGATGTTATGAGATGTTCCATGCCACATTGCGAAACACACGTGTAACTCACGAGCAGTGAATGCAACATTCTGCTTTGAAAAGAACAATATCTAAAGTAAGTTCTAAATGACAGTGTTATTTCTTTTTCTTTCTAGAGACTCCTTATGTATTGCTTGTCGTTTTTCTTGGTTCATTTCTGTGTTTTTGCATTTGACCAATGAATTTGAACCAAAGAATGCTCTTTAATTTGCTGACCGGCTTCACATGATTGAAATATTTGCACCTTCTGTGCTATTTTCCTGTTCATATCATGGTCGGTCATATGATTCTTCTTAAGCTACATGGTTTGAAGTATAAAATGTCGTTAGCCATCTTTATGAACCCATGGCTGCATTTACCCATAATTTTGACTTACACAGGCTAGAAGCTCTACTATTTCCATGCCATATAGAGTTCAGCACATTGATGAGTTTGTAAAAAAACTTGAGGCAGGAGATCTAAAATTGCGAGTACGAGTACTTGAGGTATTAGTATTAACCATATTTCCAATGTGTTTGTTCGTTGTACGTCTCTCTCTCTCTCTCTCTCTCTCTATATATATATATATATATATATATATATATATTGTCGACCAGCCCAAGATTGAATGCAAGATCTCCGGCAAATTTCTGTAATTTCAATGTGAATTCAAAAATCATGTGAATTTTATTTGTTTTCTTTTATAACGTATTTTAAAATTTTAGATTGTTAGATGTGATGTTAGGGTTTTTTGAAGGGGAAGTTGGATTGTTAAATTGTAAGTTGCCATTCAAAGGAGATAATTAGGATTGCTAGAATGGATAATTCCACCTGACAAAACAATCAAAAATGAGAAAAATTTGTTAGGGGAAATCAACAAAATCATGAATTTTTTCTTTTTGACATATGAGGGTTTGTTTTTTTTTTTTTTTTTTATAATCTAGTGTAAAATCAATGGTTTTGGTGTCATGTTTTCATTTGTACATGTACTTTATTGTTTAATTTAGTTATTCTGCAATGTGTTATGCTCAATTTGTAAGAGCTCCTAGAAATTTACCGAAAATCCCATGAAAACATGAGTTACGGTATAATTAGAATGAAAAATCCAAATTTTATTGGATTTTATCTCCTTTAACTGCACTACAGTGGATTTCGTGGTTTTTTAATAATTTTGGGGTTGGGACTTTAAATTTATTTAAAATACATTAATCATATTTGATTTATTCATAATAATATTTTGATTTTATTTTGAGAACATGAAGAAAAGTTGAATGAATGGTTTATGATTAGATAATAGTGCTTTGATTTGATTATGAGAAGGTCAAGAAAATTTGAATGGATGGCTTATAATTTGAAAATAGTGCTTTGATTTGATTATGAAAACATGAAGAAAAGCGGAATGTAAAAGTTGAGAATAGTGCTTTGATTTGAGACTGTGACTTTGGTTTTATTTGCCATTGAAATATAATATGTTCTATTCTTTTCCATTTGATGGATAATTTATGTAGTGTTAATCTCGAGATACTTCACTTTAATTTCAGGACTATTTTTAAACCCCTGTTATTAAATAGAAATGTTGAATGTTCACTGAGCATTGCGTGATATGACAACAATATTCAATCTCAACTATTACATTTTACAAGATATGAAAGCCTAATTGTTGCCTTCAGTGGTAGTTGTTTCCTCAATTAAGTTCCTTAGTACTAATAAGTTAGTTCATTCATTATGTTATGATGCATATAGTAAGTCTGTTTTCTTAAATTTGAATTTAGTCTATAGATAAGATGGAAAATCAAGGGAATAATTTTGGAGGATTAGAGGACGATGTACTATTGTACCTGAAAGAGAATCACATCTCTGAATTGGTGTCTCAAGGAAAGGTAAAGACAAATGCCATCGTTTATGTCAGTTTTTGCAAGGATGATGTATAGTAATAAAATTCACATCATGTGCATGTTGTTAACAATCTATACACTAAAGTGCCATTGTTGTTTACAAGAGAGACCAAGGATTTACATGTACGAGTTCTTTATTGTTGTCAGGTCATTGCCCATTACAGAGGAGCAATGTGCGATTGTTGAGAGGATGGGTTTGTTGCCATTGGTGAACCTAGCAGAGCGATGACCCAAAAATATTTATCATCTGTTGATGATTACTACGGCATAAAGGTGGCATCTCAAGACGAATACCGCACATATGTCGATATGCATCAGAAAGATTATGCCCATGTTGTATGATGTATGGCAGATACAACAGATGAATGTCACTAGTGATCCCGTGATGACCAGAGAATGCCGGCCATATACGACATACATAAACTAGTGGCTCAAGGATTGTCCAAATGAGCATCAATTGCATACACTAAAGTTCAGTTGGTTGAGAAGTACATTCGTTGAGATACCTGAGGATGCAACATAGGCGGTAATAAAGCAACACAAGAGGGCTTATTTGCTCTTCTTACTTGATCACACCCTCTTTTCTAGTGTAAAAGGCAATGAAGTGATGACAAGATACTTGACTTGGTTTGAAGACTTCAAAAGAAGACTTCAAACACACGGGATTATATGTCTGGGGGCCACGGCTCCAGCATACCTATTTCGGTCATTTTAGAAGTTTAAAATACTGAAAGCTAATGAAGTTCCACACCGTCACCTGACTGGCTCTGCCACCCTATTTCAGGTTAAAATCTTCGTTTTATAATATTTGAGTTCATATTTTTTACCATCACAAAAATTGCTTTTTATGTTTAATTAATTTTGTATTGTATGGTGCAGTCATGGGCACTAGAACATCTAAAAATCTCCGACCAAATCTAGAAAAAGTGTTGTTCATGCTTGGGTCCCAAGAGCCGCAAGATGGAATTCTCCAACACATAGTGCGAACCCAGTTCACAACGAAGCATAATATCGTCAGGAGCTCGATATGGTCATGCTTGAGACGGTAATTCTAATCGAATGCAAACTTATATACAGTTTATACCCATGAGAAGGAAATTACGGTCTGATGATGGGGACCTCGGACCATCCTGCAATTTTTTTCCTTTTATTTCCAGGGAGTGGTCCGAGGTCCCCATCCTCGGACCAAAAATGAGAAGGAAATTGCAATCCAAGGATGGGGACCTCGGACCGCTCTACAATTTGTTTTTTTTTTTTCTAGGGAGCAGTCTGAGGTTCCCATCCTTGAACCGAAATGAGAAGGAAATTGCGGTCCGAGGATGGGGACCTCGAACTGCCATGAAGTTTGCATTTTTTTCTTACAGGGAGAGGAGCGGTCTGAGGTCCCCATCCTTGGACCAAAAATGAGAAGGAAATTGTGGTCCGAGGATGGGCACCTCGGACCGCCCTGTAGTGTTTTTTTTTCTAGGGAGCGGTATGAGTATGGGGACCTCAAACCACCCTACAGTTTGATTTTTTTTATGTTCCAGGGAGCGGTCCAAGGTCCCCATCCTCGGACCGCTATTTCTTTCAAAAAAAAAAAAGAATATTTGTTTGAACATTGCGTATGAGCAAATTGTTTGACAACCGTAAAACTTAATCTTAACTGCAAACAAGCCATGAACACAATTCCAAGTTCCATAAGTACCAAAAAATATATATTCACAAATCAGTATCAAAATAGCATTATTTGAACATTAAAAACAGTGAACAGTGATTGATACACAAAATACAACCGAAAGACATTATTGATAGACTCCCCAAACATAGACTCCATTCCTCATATGAATTACCACATACAGACTCGTTGACTTCGTTATCACATGTATAGTGTTCGCACTCTGACAATAATTCATCAACTGGTTCTTCGTGCATCTCAGGAATATGTTCGTCAATCGATTCTCTCATGACAGACTGTTGTGGCCCTTGTCGCCACAACGTTTACAAAAGTACCTCCTGGTGTTTTTGTCTTCAATACGTCTTTATTGCTTCTTTGGTCTGCCAGGGAGCCACATTGTCTTTAGGGGAACACCACCCTTTTGATAACTCTAGGGCAAGTGAAATCATCCGGTATGAGATAAAATCAATTGAATATGCCCACTTTTAAGCTGCTACATAATAGACGGCAAAACGATTGCATAAGAAGGCGACTCTGGGTTATAGCAGTAAGAGCGTGACTGCAGGGCAACCTGTAGTCGTCCAAACTAAGCATGAACAAGACCATTGATTCAGATTCATTGCATACGCCTTATCAGCATAGATCTCATACTACATGCCTGACACCTATATAACATGGTGCTGAACGCGTGATTGATCCATCTGCAAGTCCATGTCTTTTTGTACCTTTGGCACTAGAATAATTGTCCACTTTTCTGCCTTCTTTATTCACTTTAATGCTTTCACATAATGCAATTATCAGCTTGTCTCGATGTTCTTTAATCCAAGCATTAAAGTCCTCTACAATATTTGACGTGCATTGATCGCATCTCGAGACAGGAAAATATCCATTTGCCCAAAATTCGGGTGGACTCTTCATTATCCACTGATACGCCGTAGCATCAGCTTCTCGATTTTTTGACATCTTACCTGGAAATCTTTTGGCCGCAATGCACGGACGGCATCCCAAAACAATGGCAACAGTACATGATTCTTCCATCGTCTCTTAAAGCTCTCTCCCATATGGTGAATGCAGTACCCTTGAAAACAATCTAAGAAAACTCGTTGGATTGCGTTCTTCAAACCTTTCTGTCGGTCTGAAATAATTGTGAAACGCAAGTTTGGTCTTTCATTGAGTTGCTCCCATAGACAGGTAAGAAACCAAACCCAACTATCAGTGTCCTCTATGTCCACAACAGCTATTGCAATGGGGAGCATACCTCCATTGGCATCTACGCAGATAGCTGCCAACAGTATCCCCTTGTATGTTCCCTTCAGGAACATGCCATCCAAGGCTATAAGAGGCCTACAATTGTACAAAAACCCATACATGCATAACAAAACACTAGAGATATGATTCCTAGAGCTACGAACGTCCCATGTGCTCCCCACTGGAGCACAGACTACAACTACATGCTCTTGGTCATTTATCTTATATTTCATGATAAAGTTTGACATATTGCTTAATCAATCAAATGTTCTCAAAGAACCCTGACATGTGCAAAATAGTCCAACATGCTGATCAACTCGAGTGTGTGTTGAAGCGTATGGCATGTCCAATATATATTGGTCATCACGGTCAGGTCCAATCTCCATGCCATCATTTGAGTCTGGCTCACATGCATGTGTTTCATTTCGGATGCCAGGGTTGGGCACAGGGTCAATGGGTTGCCTCGAAGTTATGGTCGAAGAGATCAATAAGTACTAAATAAATAAAATAAAATACCAACATAATCATACAAATCATATTTATTACATGATCCTAGTTGATGGACCACATGTCTTGGTTGATGATCCATATGTGTTAGTTCAGAAGATTGGTTTAAAACACATACATGAATACTAGAAGCTATTGGTAGTATACATGTCACATCTTCATCCTCGTTTAATTCTAATAAATCGTCATTTTCTTAATACATAACTATCAAATTACTTGGATCACAACGTGCAATAGTCGCCATATGTGCCTTCAATTACTCTAATGAGTGACCTTCCTTATAAAATGTGGCTCTTATATTCCCACCCTTATAATTCTCCCATCATTTATATTTTACTTGAAAATACTACCATAATGGCACACCAATCTAACTCCACCGTTGGCCATTCTTATCACCGAAATGAGGGGCTTGCAGAGTCAATGTGAGTTTGCTTCGATTTTAGACACCCTAACACCAACATAAGAGTGCAACTATAATAAATTGTATTGTATAACTAAATCATAAAAATTAAATTACATAAATAAAAAGAAACAATATTTTGTATAACTAAATTAAAAACTAAAGTACATATAAATGAAATGATCACACAAACTATGGATTTTTCACTAAGTTTCAAACAAACAAACAAAAAAAAAAAATATGTCAAAAAATGAAATTTAATACTTTCTTGAGGAGCCCTAATAATAGTGATTTACATTTATTTTTTGAGGCAAAACTATACATTCTCAAAACCCTAATGATCTTAATGAACTTTCTCATTTGAAAAACCCTAGATTCATATCTAACAATCCAACATTCTAAATAACTTTAAAAAAAAATTAAAAAAATACTTACTTGATTCTTAGAATGTAGTCGGAATCATAGTAATAGTATAAGAAGTCCGCCCTAATAATTTTTAGTGATTTACGTTTCTTTTTTGAGGCAAAACTATACATTCTCAAAACCCTAATGATCTTAATGAAACTTCCCATTTGAAAAACCTTAGATTCATATCTAACAATCCAACATTCCAAAAAAAATTACAAAAAAAAAAGAACTTTCCAGATTCTTAAAATCTCGCCAGAATCACATTATTAGTATCAGAAATCCACCCTAATAAATTTTAGTGATTTACATTTCTTTTTTGAGGCAAAACTATACATTCTCAAAACCCTGATGATCTTAATGAAATTTCCCATTTAAAAAACCCTAGATTCATAACTAACAAACCAACATTCCAAAAAACCTTGAAAAAAAAAATATTAGTACAAGAAACCCTCCCTTAAATGCTTCGTCGCTCTATAGTTTAGAGAGAGATAGGGGGTTGAGGGGGAGAGAGGGGGGAGGGTTGAGAGAGATAAGCGCTAAAGAGAGAGCACGAAATGAAATGAAAAACGAGGGTGATCCGAGGTTGACATTCTCATATTGATTTTAATGTAAAAGCAACAAGCGGTCTGAGGTTAGAATTCTCGAACCATGGTTTTTCATAAATTCCAAGCAGTTGCAGAGCAGTCCGAGCAATCGAAACTTGGAACGCATTTGGTATCTCTCAAAATATAGCGGTCTAAAGATTAGAAACTCGTACGGAATTTGCGGTCTGAGGATTCGAAACTTGGAATACATGCACAGTACCCCAATCCCGTAGGGCACTGCCCTACCAATGGAAATTAACAAAAATAAAAATAAAATAAAAGCAGTCCAAGGATTATCCTCAGCCCAAGGGATAATTTCGTCAAAAAATAAGGCCACATTAGCCGACCATAGATGTAATATATGCATATAAGGAGAGCAAATCGCATTTTCCCTACTTATATAGGAGGTGTACGTAATTAACTCTAAATCAAACCATATTAGTTGAAATTTTTCGAAATTTGATAAAAACAGTGTAAACAATATATAAAAATCACATTAAAATTGAAATGAATAGAAATCAACAATGAAATTATCAGAGAGAGTTAGTGAGAGTGGTTCAATGGGTTGGTGGGTATGGAGATGGTCTTCAAGATCCAAAGGGTTGGCACATGGCCATGCAAAC